AAAAATCAAAAGTACACTAGCTCAAAATTAGAGAAAAAATGCCAAAATTACATGCCAGATATAAAAAATACTTTATAAAGACGCCGTAGAATAGGAACCAGATGAGCGTGTAGCGATTAGCATGTGTGCCTATTAGCATGCGATAATTATTTTAATTGGGATTGCATTCAGAAGAAAAACAGATTAGCCTAAAATTTTAAAAGGTTTTGAAAATTATTTCATTTTTTAAGGAAATAGAAAGTTCACTTTCGCCTAATTAAAATTTCAGCTATATGTACGCTGATAAAAATAGCAATTTTGAGAAAACAAAATTTAAAATACGGAACTTCACACTATATGCTTTTAAATGGGCATGCCAGTAGACACGCATAGTAAAAGGCCGGCCCTTGAACCAGATAGACTATCAGTTCTGTTCATTTACACCAAGTTTCAATTTATTCTTTCTTAAACGAGGAAAAAGAAGAGAAAAAATTGCATACACATTTAGCGATATTTGGGCAATCATTGACCAAAATACAAATAAAAATGCAACAATTTTAACACAGGCAAAGCTGAGCTTCGCACCACTTGCGATATAAAAAAAAGAAAGACTGACGAAAAACAATTGAATACAGCCAAGAAAACTAGATCTATCAAAATGAATATGGCTAGTTTTGGAACAAGAACGTGCCAAATTAATAGAACGTAAAACCAGCATCAAAATAAAAGTTACAATCTGCAATAAAGTTGAAAATGCATGAGCAGAAATCCTTTAAGCTGAAAAAAAATCAAGATATACAAAAATATATTGAATATTAAATCCACCTCAACCTCAACACACACAACACAAAAACATTTTCGCTTGTTGAACGAACACAAAAAGTTCGAAATCTATCAAGACGAAAAAAATTAAATGTTAACAAATCGAGTTGTTAGAATTACAAACATAAAAAAAATCGAATAGGATAGCTATTGAAAAAGACTAATATGCACTTTATCGGTGCAGGGTAGCATTTTAGAAGTGGTAAGTTTGTTGCTAAGAGAGGCTTCCAGGAAATGAGTCCAGATGAAGAGTCCTGTGGACACAGTTTTTTACGGAAAAAAAGTCTAGTACCCGATTGCAATACCCTTGCTTATCGCAAGGATAAAAATATATCAATTTAAAAAAACTATGTAATAACGTAATATGAACCAGACAACCATATGAACCATTATTGACGAAGTTAAGGCAGCACTGGCAAGAGCCTGCTTTTGTACGTTTTTTTTCCACAGATTTCCAGAAAAAGGTGATTATTAAGAGCAAGTCAAGTTGGGCAAAAATTAAAGGAACACATCAAAATGCCTTTCATTAATAGTAAAAATTGCTCAAATCAGAATTAAAAACTATTGTGGAAACTCAGCCAACAAAAAATTAACAGACATGCAAAAAATTTAAATTTATCCCAAAAAACTTTTTTTAAAGCTGAAAACGTTTAATTTAAGAAAAGAAAAGCTTCTGACATTGGCTCGACCATTAGAATTTGGTCGTTCTAAGCATGTATGTCAAGCAGATTGGGCGTAAATATTAGCTGGAGCTTGATATGTCAACAAAATACACCGATGAATTCCGCGAACAACGTTTTTTCATGGTAAAAGTCTATTACCAGATTGCAATCACCGTGCTATCCGCAAAAAAAACAAAGATAGCCCGTTGCTGTGCAAGAAGCGCAGAATGTTTCGAAGTTGTTCGTAAAAAAGACAAAAGAAAGTTTTTTTTCGTTTCTTTTTTTTCAATTTATTGTCGGTAAAAACCGTGTAGAAATTTAGTGAATCAGAAATAATCGACAGTCTTAAAAAAGAAATTGCAAACTAAAAATTTACAAAAAAACTCAAAAAATTAAAAAATGGTAATAATGATATCTATTATCACAAATTAATTATAGGACAGGAAAGAAAACAGAAGCTACACACTCATACTAAGAATTGGCGAAACACTCTTGCCTGAATTAATTACGTATCAAAACTCAGTTTTAACCAACAAAACAATGCACAAAATTTAAAAAAAAAATTAGAAAATCACTATCAAAACGATAGCCGATTGAAATGAAACATAGCCGACAATAAAAAAAGAGAACTAAGAAAAAAACTAACTTTTGATTTTTTTTAAATATAAATCTGACCCAATAACTGGATCCAAACGTTTTTTAATCTATTTTGAATTCCACGAAAAGATCAGAAAAATCAACACAGCTCGGAAAAAGTCAATTATAAAGTCTAATATTCTATTATTATAATAGTCTGATACATTATACGGCTGCGGTGGCAGTAAAAAAAAAATCAAGTGAAATGTGTTCAAGAGTCAAACACTTGAACACATTTCACGTGATTTTTTTTACTACCACCGCAGCCTTATAATGTATCAGACTATTATAATAATAGAATATTAGACTTTATAATTGACTTTTTTCTAGCTGTATTTATTTTTCTGATCTTTTCGTGGAATTCAAAATAGATTAAAAATCGTTTGGATCCGGTTATTGGGTCAGATTTATATATAAAAAAAAGTTCAAAAGTTAGTTTTTTTCTTAGTTCTGTTTCGTATTGTCGGCTATGTTTCAATCCAATCAGCTATCGTTTTGATGGTGATTTTCTAATTCTGTTTTTTTTCTCAATTTTTGTGCATTGTTTTGTTTGTTAAAACTGAGTTTTGATGCGTAATTAATTCAGGCAAGAGTGTTTCGCCAAATCTTAGTATGAGTATGAGCGTAGCTTCTGTTTTCTTTCCTGCCCCATAATTAATTTGTGATAATAGATATCATTATTACCATTTACAACTTTTTGAGTTTTTTGTAAAATTTTAGTTTGCAATTTCTTTTATAAGACAAAGTTTGTCGATTATTTCTGATTCACTAAATTTCTACACGGTTTTTACCGACAATAAATTGAATAAAAAAGAAACGAAAAAAAACTTTCTTTTGTCTTTTTTACGAACAACGTCGAAACATTGATCATATTTGGGAATTTAGAAATCTTTTTGTGAATCTTTGACAGTTTTGCGTGAATATAGTTTTGTTTTTGAGCGAAATGGAGAAGAAAATTTGACAGATTGCTGAGATAATTGTTTGTTCAGAAAAACTTGTGACGCAGCGCTTGGGGACCTTTTGTTTGTCTAACAAGCGGCATCACTTAAAATAGCCACTTTCTGTTCAACTTCCGTCCAATTGAAAAAAATAACTTGTCAATGATTTCTGTTGTACTCTCCCGATCAGAAAAGAGAACAGTTTTCACAATCTATTATGTAAATGAAACAATGTGAACTACAGAGGCAAAGCTTCACTCATCAGCTTAAACATTATACTCGTTAAAAAAAACTTGTAATTTATCACGTTATAATTTCTCAAACTGGTTTCGAAAATCGAAACCATCATCAGGAAGCAAAAATGATAGCGCTTCAAATGGTTCTAGCTCATGCTAATTGAAACTACAAAAAATATAGCCAACAGAAAGTTTGAAGTGTCACTTAACTCAACGAGACAGATAAAAAGATAACATTTAAACGAAAAAAGAAGTTTTAAGAATTTTTTTTCATAAAAATAACCCGACTATAAAAAACTGAGTCAAAACGCAATTTTTTTCGTCGAGAAAAATCATAATTAAAGCACGCTCACGGAACTAAAAGTTAATCAAGATTTTTTTTGCGCCATTTTTGCTTTATTAATCGAAGAACGTAAAAAATCTTACTTTTACCTAAATTAAATTGAACTTATAAAGATATCAAAAGTCAAACCGCGAAAATTCCAAGTTCAGAGGGATCAAATATTCAACAATTTCACGAAAAAAAAAGTTCTATGAAATTCACTATTAAGCTCATTTTAAACTTAACTAAAACGTTGCGATTTTATATAGATCAGAAAAAGAACTGATATTTTAACAAAGAACTGATCCGCACGAGAGCACGATTCCACAGTAGAACACGATTTCACGGGAAAACACGATTCGCCTGTGTAAGAAAAATCAACCTCGTAATTGGAGGTGAGAACACTTGTTAGATGAAAGTCGAGCTTCGGGTAGATCACGCTTCCAAACAGGACAGAGCCCAAAATACGACCAGCTGAAAACAAGTCCCCATATTTCAACACCAGCGAGAACACGAAAAAAAAGAACCTCTGTAGTGAAATAAGAAAAAGTAGAAATAAGCCTGGAATTAGTATTAAGAAATTCTGCAACGCGACGGATTAGAAACTGCGAGCTACAGATCAAGAATCTCACGCCTTAACTCCTCAGCCACTGACGCCTAACAATCGGCAAAAATTAGCCATAAATAAAGCAGACAACAGATGCTATAAAATTTCTAATGCTACAGATCATGATTATAGCAAAAGTAAAATAATGGTTCCTACATCGTGGCAATTGCCCTATACTTTCAAGTGGCTAGTTGTACAAACAGACAGGATAACTAAGTCGTGATTATTTAACTAAATCTTGTGTAACACATAAAGCTTCAATTTTTGTCCAGTAAGTGAGTTGCACAAAGAAGAATGTTGACTTCCATTGTCCTTAGTAAATTCGCTTGATGATTTTAGCCTCATTTTGACTAATTTACCACAGCAGCTGAAGAACTTAAAAACGTGCACAGTGAGACGCCAGAATTGCATTATTATATATCAAGCCACTATCAAATGGTTCAATGATTCTGTTAACAAGTTTTTATACCTGGTTTATGTTCTGATTAGATAACACTTGCTAATTGCGCATAAAGTCAAAGTAAAAGTCAAGTCAAAAGAGAAAAACAGAGCGAGAACAAAAAAAACGATTCCTGGAGAAAATTAGAAATTGAAAGAAAAATCTGAAAAAAATTCTAGAAAAAAAACGACCTAGAGTAGCAAAAGAGCTCCGCTCAATAAAGTAACTGGAATGGTAAGTCTGGAATGTGTGAAATAAGAGAAACGGAATATCTTTAGACAGGCTGGATAACCTTCGATTGATCCTCTGCGAATCGCAGAAACTACAAATATTCATTAAAATTCTATTGGAACCATTTTAATTTAAAAACAGCTAAGTTCAAAAATTCGATGATTATCTCATAATTGTAACATAAAAATACAGTTTAATTAGGTGGAACCCATCTAAGGCCATTTTATTATCTAATACACATATAAATCTGAAACGAGCACTGTCAACCCAACTGGGACAGAAACTCATTGGACAGAAACTGGACTTCTGTCTCCTTTCTGGCCTCGATGACATCTCTGAGTATTGAGTCGTCCCAGTGGAAGTTAAGAACAGCTGCCGGCACCTGAATCGAAAAGTAATTCAAAATACTCGCCATGTTCACTTTTTTTCTTTCTTTTTGAGTTGTAACAAATACGACGACAATAGAATCGGTTTTCGTAAGCTGTATATTTAAAAAAAAAAGATTTTCGACTTTTTCTGGAGCATTCAATATTTTTCTCCATTGTTTCGGGTACTACTTTCAAATCATGTCATAAAACTGCATTTTTATTTTCTGTTAGAGCAGGAGGATGCTTTAAAACTTTCAAGGATTGTGTGCTATTCAACTTATGGCGTTAAATCTTCAAGTATAATTCAAGAAAATAAACCAGGCCGAGGTCTGAGATGAAAGATGTCTCGTCAAAAGACTGCCCAGTGGCGTCCAAAAGAGAGAAAGGAACACAATCGTAGGCCAGATTAGACCTCAGATAGGACACCACATCGCCGAACTTCTCGAACGCCTAAGAGCAGAAGCAAAAAAGTTGTTGTTGTTGTTAGTAGCTGCAAACAGGAGCTGTCGTTCAACTCGTGTTTTCATTTTTGTTTTATTTCCAGTACTCCACAATCGAAGAAAATTCAACTTACCATGGCACCAAGATTTTGTTTTACCGAAAAGTATAGTATCTTCGAACAAAATAGTGTGGAGGTTTTCTTTGTCAGTAATGCATTTGCAAAACCTTTTAAAGAAAAACCAACGGTCGGAAAGCAATACTGATCTGATTAGTTTCTTCTGAGAAACGAATGGTTCTGAGTTTCATTAAATTTTCTCTTACACCAGCGACATAGTATGGTGTCATTATTTCGTGCCATTAAGCTTTCGTGTTTCAGCTTATGTCTCCAAATCAATCAACACTGGCGGAGGAGGACTGATGGGTTCATGATAAACCTGGGGGATTAAAACGGGGGGGGGGGGGGTGGGGTGGGGAGGTAGTAGTTAGCATGAGGTGTTGTTTGTTCTTACTCTGAAAACTGCTTGTAGGATGATGTTGTTCGGCAGTCTAATTCGGATGAGAGTGTAGTTGTACTTGCGCACCTCTTGCTGTGCATCCCTCTCTCGCATGGCCTTAGTGCGCAGCTGCAGCTCTTTCTCCGCCCGCTCACGCCTAATTTTTACAAACAAACAAACAAACACTATTTTTATACAAGATCTAGATTCACTTTCGCAGACAAACTTCTAATCTTATCGAGGGTTAAGGATAGAGTTACAAAAAAAAGAAGATTGCTAACAGAAAGTTTGAAGTCTCAATGATTAATGATACCACAAACATTTTTCAATTTTCCACGAAAAAATGCATCACGTTAAAACGTTGAAACCTACTTTGAACCTATCAAACTTCAAACGGCAAAAAAACTATTTGAGGGTGAACAACTTGCAAGACTTTTCATAACCACCTGAAAAATAACCACACGAGGACTTAAATAAGTGTCTTCACTTTGTTCACTGGCACTCAAAGAAAAAAAGCATGCAAATTCATGGAACATAGTGTATTTACTTCACTAGAACACAACTATGATAGCTATCAGGCAGCGGCGATGGGTTTCCAACTTTCGAACTCTATAAAAGAAAGAAGGAAAGAATTTATTTCTCCAATAAATGTTAAGTAAGGATATATAGCATCGTATAATGAGACTTGGAGAGGACATACAACGGGATCCTAGAATCCACCAAGCGTCTGCCCTAAAAAGTCATAAAATTTTTCAAAGAACATTTAAAAAATATATTAAACAAAAACGTGCCTTTTCCAGAACTTTTTTATATCCATCCAGCAAAAAATTAAAATTTGCGCTCAATGTTAGAGATTAAAGAAGCCATGCCAGTTTGAATAATTTTTTCATGACAAGAGCGATAAAAATAAATAACCAGTAGAAAAAACCATCAGCCAACAAAATTAAGAGCAATGGAAAAATGTAAAACAAGAAACCGAAAAAACAGTTGATTCAAAATTCGAAGAAAAAAAAACAAGTTGAAGATCTTCGAATTTCAAATACTGTTTATTATTAGCTTTTCTATCGTTAAGTTATCCCACGTAGAGAAAACTGTATTATTCGGCAGTTTTTTTATTCCGTTGGAAATTCAGAAAAAAAGTCCATTCAAAGACATCCACTAGAAGTCATTCACAATTTTAGAGAACTTATTACTTGTGCTGTTCGATAGGGGAGTTTGCCTTCCTTTTACCGAAGGAGAAAACAGTGAACTTAAAAAGAAATTATAAATCAAATGGCGTGAGCAAATGTTAAAGCTTTTCCTTAAAATAAAAACAAAAAAATCATCAAGATGTATATTAGTGAAAATTCTTTTACACTTAAAAAAATAACCAACAAAAAATTAACTAAAAAAACTTTTGTGTGAAAAAAAAACTAAATCCGATCTCGGATAACGTCAAGGGTCAGAGCACAGAGCCATTAAGAGGCGTCTCAGCTGAGCATTCAGTTTATTGTGTACGATTAAATAAGCCCAGAACCCACTAAACATGAGCATAAGGGCACTTACCCCCCATGTCCTCAATCAGAATCTAAAACAATTCTTCCTTCCTCCATACCTCCCTCTCCCTCCTCCGGGGACTCGCCTACTAGCATGGGTGCCGCTTAGCATACGGCTATTAGCTCAATTAGAATTAAGTAAGTTTTCTCACATTTGCAACTACAACAGGAGCTGATGCGTGCCACATCAAAGTAAGTTATTATTATAATAGCGCATGCTAAGCGGCACGCCTTCAAGTCGCTATACCCCCCCCCCCCACCCCCAATTCCCGCTTCTTACCTGATCTGATGTTCTCGGGCTATTTCCTCCTTGCTTAGATTGTAGAAGTCGTCAGGGTAGTAGATAGGCCCCACAGACAGGATGTCCTTGGGGTGAAGCAGTTTCGCCTGTCTGTCCAAACTAGGCTTCATCGCCTGTCCCTCGTTTAACATGGTCACCAAGTTCTCCAGCAACTCTACATTTGGCTCACAGTTAACCCAAGCACGTTCACTCGTGTCTAAAGCATGTCGGCAATTAAATTCACTAATTGAAGAACCACAGATAACAGCTAAGTTAACAGAAAATTATGTGAGAAATTATGCGAAAAAAAAAAAACAAAAAATAAACGATACAAAACGCGAATTTTTTAATGACACTTAAATAGAAAAACAATATTAAAAATATAAAATACTAATTTCCACAACGATTCATGATCGCAAAAAGAGTCAAGATCGCCATGAAATGGAAAAAATACTAATCTTTTTTTTTGAAAAAAAAACCCAAGCTTTCGAATTTCGAAGAAAAAATGGCCTTAGAGCTCGTTGACGTTCATTGACACTTTTTTGATAAAATTAAACCAATTTGAGAAAACTGGATCAATAGGTAGTAAGCTTTTTATTCCGCTAGGAAATCTGGAAATTTATATCCACTTTCCAAACTAAAAGTCGATCACGTTTTTCGTGACTTTAATACTTTTGCTGTTCCATAGAGGAGTTTGCCTTTCTTTCGAAAAGAGAAACAAAGTGAACTTGGAAAAAAATCAAGGATCAAACCGCGAAAAAAGCGTAAACGACTTTTTGAGTCTTCGCTACGTTCATCGCTGCGTATAGTCTTTTATTCCGCTGGTAATACGCAATACCTAAGTTCATTGAAACTGAAAATCAGTCAGGTTTGTTCGAGACTGAAATTTTGGCACAAAAGAATTCAAATTAAGCTTAAAACGAAATCACAAATCAACACGACCTACATAATCATCGATCTAAGAATCAATACAAACTACATAAAAGTTTTCATTGCGTTCATTCACACTAAAAACTGCAAAGTGACAACCATCGTGTCTCACGCAATTTGAGTTGCAGTAAAAATGATAGATCGGTCCAAAATTTGATAAAGAAATAAGTGCTTTTTTTACAGAACAATTTAGTTCATGAAAGCCGAATAGTTTTCTCGCACGATTAATTTTTCTTATTGGAAAGCACAGTTTGTTTTCCATTTAGCAAATGAGTTTGAACTCAACTTAAGGAAATTGATTCACAGAGATGCGAAGCCGCACTCGGAAACGTAAATTATAAAAAAAAAACGACAAAACGGAGCTTCAAAATATGACAATACGCAAAAAGCATGGAAACAATGAGCCTTAAAAAAAACAATTTACCCAAGATGTTCAAAACTCAGAGCTCTAAAATGGAAGTAATGTATCTTCACTGCGCCAGCCATATCGCCTTGTTTGTTATTAAATACCACACAGCAGTTAATGTACTTTAATAATGCGAATAAAACGGTGACAGGACAATCTACCCTATACCAATTTACCCTATACTTATCTGCCTTATATACCAAGTTACCCTGTGACGATTTGCCGCATCATTAATGTAATCTTTCAGAGTGCTAATTAGAATCGGAAAGATAAAAGCACGTGTTAATTCATTTGAGTGCAAATTTTTGGACTCAATTTGAGTCTTTCACTTAAGGACATTGTTCATAAGACTCAATCGCAATTTAGCCTCAAAATCTCAAATTTGTCTCAACTAACCGATTTTAATTCCCAATTTTGAATATCACGTACAATCATGAAACATATACTAACTCATTATATCAATTTTCCTTGGAAAAAAAACTACCAAAATGAGTCAAACTTCTTGGGGCCTGTCCCAGCAGAATCGGAGAACGCTTGTAATCGATGGCCACGAGTTTACCAAAAAAACAGGAAACAAAGAATGGAAACATTCACTAGAAGTGCTCAAGGTGGGGGCCCCATTAAAGCAAAACGACATCAATAACCCGAAATAATGATTTTTTTTTTCTGTAGAAATGAACACTCACGAAATTTTTCCTGGTTAATTGAGATGCAAGGCTTCTCGTGCAGAAAATGGAAAGAGACAAAAAAATTCAGAAAGTACCAGTCAATAACATCATTATAGCAAACTGCCTGCAGTCTGTGTCCGAAGAAAAAGGCCGTTCAATTAGCTCTTCCTTACCGGTGGGCGACTAATCGGGCCCTCAATCGACAGAAGGCAAATGAGAGAGCCACAGTGCTTCCAAGTGTCGACAGACATTTTGAGATCCCGAAGGAACACGAGGATTTTTGCGTCTTCGATAGCGGTATTGAAGATCCAGAAAGAGTGCTGATTTTTGAAGATCGCGAAAATATCCAGAATTTGATAAAACATCAAGATGTTTGGCTGTGTGACAGAACATTCAAAGTTCGCCCTATTCAATTCTATCAACTTTACACCATCCACATTCAACTCGCTGGATTTTACCACCCCCCTCCCCTGCATTTATGCACAGCCAAACAAAAGAGCATATATACAGAAAGCTACTGAAGGGCTCATCAGCCATCACCAAAAACACCGAGCCTCACCGCATTCTCATCGATTTTGAACGTGCAGCACTAAATGCTTTCGCTAGTCATCATACTGGATCGTTGCTTAAAGGCTGCTATTTTCATTTATGTCAAGCGTTCAACCGTAAAATAAACGAAGTGGCCTAAAAAGACTGTTTGAAACTATTCCCGAACTCAATTTGTCGTTGCGGCTAATTCCAGCTATAAGTTTTGTACCAGTTGAGATGGTTACTGCCGCTTTCGACATGGTTTATGAGGAGATCGAAAAAGTCTGACAAATTTGAACTCGACGACAACATCACTGAAAAACCTGATGAGGTAGCCTCATACTCCCAACGCACGCACCTGCATCAAATTAGATGCTTCCAATCAAAAATTCAATATAATCAAAGGAGTGGTGGGAAACAACAACCCCAGTCGCAAGAAGTACAGTGAGAACTACATGAGATGTTGCAAGAACATTTGCATCATTTTCAACAAAGACTCTATTTTAACATATTTTAACATAAGGGCTGAGAGGGCTGAGTTTTTGGCAAAAGATAGAGGCCAATATCAAAAGAATTTTACTTTTCTCTCTCACCCCGCCTACCAGTACCGCCTTGGCCTGGGGGGGTCTACCTCTCTACTTGTGATCAACTAGTCAAACATTTAGTAATTTTCGAATTTCATTCAAAATTTGTCTCCTTGGTGTGTTGATCTTTCGATTTCAAAACATGCATTATCCGCTAAGCTATGTCGAATTGGTGTGATATGACTTTTGCTCGTTTATGAAATAGCTGCAACGCATTTCCATCGCAAAATTGTTTGAAATTTCTGTTCGCTCATGCTTTGAGCTCATTTCATTTTTGAACAAACAAATTTTACGTTGCTTTGATATTTTGTGCGCGTGCGGTAATTATTCTTTGATCACAATTAATGGTTCTTTGATTTGTTCGGAAATATTCTGTTTCGGATTCTTCAAGAGGATGGGGTAAGTTTCAATTGCTTTCAATATAGGGTAGAATGGAATATGGTAGATTAGCACAGGGTAGATTGGATTAGGGTAGAATGTCATGGAACTGACAAAACACATGGTAATAATGTATCACCAAATTTGAACAACACATCAGGTGAAATTGAACATAGATATTTTGGTCAATATATATTTTTAATCAGCTGGGAAATATAAAATCTGATATCCGCTTTAAGAAAAAAGTCACTCAAATTATTGTCGCGCTACAAGATCTTTATTATTGCAGAGCGTAATGTAACTTCCTTTATGCAAAGGAAATTGAACTGATTAAACTTAAACCAAAACTTAAGTCGCAAAATCTTTTTTCCTGAAAAACAACATGACTTTAATAAGTGACTTCACTTCGCGCCTTGACACTTTAAAAATTTGAACTCAAAAACGGGCGGGTTGGGATGTAAAGAAAAAATCACTCGTATTATATTACAAAGCGTTTGCTTTATTATTGATCAATCATGAAAAAAACTCCATGACTTCTTGTGAAATCTTATTTCGTTTTTCAGACTGAAAACCGACGCAGATATGTTGACCACACCGACAAATTTCCGATTTTCAAAAACTGATAAACGATAGAGGTGACTGAAAACAAACTTTCAGTTGTAAACAAACAAACAAACAACTATGACTAATTGTCTCTCTTGGTATCAGGAAAGCGCAATTATTAACAACTTTTAAAAAATTCAAGTGATCAGTTGCTACATCCTTGCTGTCAATGAAGGCAAAGAAACAGAAAAAAACACTGACTTGTGTGTCGACCTCAAGGAAAAAGTATAAAGACTTTGAGATCTTTAAATTTCAAAAACAATTTATGATTGGCACTTTTTTGATAAAAATCAACTCCATTTGAGAAATCTGCAGTGTCAGGTGAAGTTATATACTCCGCTGGAAAATCAAGAAATTAAATTTCACTTTCGAAACAAGAAATCGATCACGTATCTTGCACAATTTCCTCTTTCGCAATTGGAGAGCGAATTTTGCCTGCCTTTTAGTGAATGAATTTGAATTGCACTCAAAATAAAAACATATTTAGTGCTGATTTAAATTATCCAGAAAACGAATTAAACTTCAAAATTAACACGCGTTTTTCTTAAATTGCGTTGACTTTAGACAACAAATGACGAAGAGACAACTTGCTTAGAATTTCAGCAGATTTGATATGGTGCAATTTATTAAGTGAAAATCGAGCCCAAAGTTGTACCCTGAAAACAACCATTTTCAAAAGGGTATAATCGTCTCAGTTTAGTATAACTAAATTTATTTTCGTTTGATAGTCAAAAAATATCAGTTTTACTATACAAAGGACCGATTTTTATCTTTAAAACAAATTTAAGACGTTTTGCGCCAATTTTTGGAGATTATAGCTTTCTCAAGTTTTTTGGACTACGCAAGAGATTCATTTTAATATAAATATGTCAGTAATCGACTGTGTAGTTGTTGCGTAATTTTTGATTGACTAAAAAAGCCGAAAAGGTCGTTTTTGGGGTAAAATTTTGGGCTTGAATTTCGCCAAATAAATTGCACCATATTAACTTTGTTGAAATTTTCAGCAAGATTTGTCTTCTTCATATTTTCTCTCATGTCAACCCAATTAAGAAAAACGCGGTTTAAATTTCAATTTTATTCGTTTTGTCCAGATAATTCAAATCCTAACTAGATACCTTAATGCATTCGTAAATGAATCAATATGTATGAATGCACTTGTGTAGTTATTAGAGCAATTGAATACTTGAATTGAGTTTGAACTATTAAGTTAGAAATTATACGTATACAATATCTAACTCACAAGGATCGCGCACGAGCCCTTATGCTCATACTGAAAGAAAATTGTTTTAAAAAAGCTATCACGAGCTATATAAAAGTCTGAACTACGTTCATCCAATCTTAAAAATGCATGATCAAGAATACATAAATGCTGCATCAATTTCTGATGTTTGAAGGAACTACGTTCTTGATCAATTATAGCAGGAGCCAGGCGCGGATCTAGGAATTTCTCAAGGGGAGGGCAGATTTTTAGAAAAATTTTGTCGACCTTTTTTCTTAGGTCGACCAAATTGATGATCTGAGCTCTCCCAAAACACTATAAAGACCCTAATTTGATTTGACTAAATTTTCTGCGCAGCAGGCAAATTTTTGAAAAAAAGGTGTTTTTAGGCACTTTTTGGAAAATATCGACCAAAACTCTGCACATCAAGAGTCTCTTTTAGCAGGAGGTAGTTTCGATCTACCGACCTCTGGGTTATGGGCCCAGCACGCTTCCGCTGCGCCATCCTGCTTCTACAGTTAAAACGGACTCTCAGTTTAATCTCATATTTTTTTCCCTAGATCTTTTCTGCTTGATTTTATATTTTTTGAGGTTTGTTTAATTGTCATAAAGAATCAAGTTTTTTTGGCGCGTGCTCCCCCCTGAAAATTAGTATAGATTGGCGCCGAACGCGCCTTTAGAAAAATTTTACGGTCAGTCAGCCAAAAATGGATATCTCAAAATAGCGCAAGGGGGACCCTTTGGGTCGGCAGGGGGTCAAATACCTGAGGGGGGCGTCCCCCCACCCCCCTAACTCCGCTACTGGCAGTAGCCGCATTTCAATAGCATTGATAGTCGTCATTGTTTCTGGTTCGAGTGAACTGTGATCTTATTGGCACTGACCGATACACACCTGGCTCATTTGTAGGAATGTTTTGTAGAGAGAACCCGGCTGCTTGCAGGAGCTCTTCGTGACCAAGCATTGGTTGGATTTTATCCTAATGAAGTAAGTAGCATCGCATTCATCAATTAATCTGAATTGAGTTTTAAACCAGACTTTTTGAAATTCTTACCTTATAGGCGTTGGTTGAACACTTGAGCTTTTGAAATTTTTCGTCTGATGCATTTTTGATTAAATTACTGAACACTCTATAACAAAGCAACTGTCATTAAGGCGCATATATTGTTTCTGGTCAGGCATATTCTGTAGTTTGTACAGCTGGCGCTTTTGAGAAATTGAGAGTCAAAATTACCTGATGAAAATGTCTTTGCCAGCTGCCAGTTTTTCAGGATTTCTATTGCACGAAAGAAACATGGTCACGCTAACAACAGAAGGCGCGTCGCTCATTTGCTGAAACAAACATCACCTCATTAAAAAAGGTTCACATCATCTAGTCGAAAAATATTGGCGAAATGGTCTAACAAGTAAAACCGATCAATGAACCCCAGAAACGCAGTACACTTCAAAAACCGAATTCCTTATGAAAACGTACCTAATTCGCAATAAATACGGAATATCCTGAGTCAGATTCCACTGCCTTTGATAGATCCTCTGCGATTCGCAGAAACAAAAAATCCTGTTATAAAAACGTGAAATTTTCAAGCAAGTGCTGCGAAGCCAGTTCAAAAATAGTGAAGCTGGCTTATAGGATGGTTTCTGCAACTTTCATGGAAAAACATTTCTATTGGAAACAATTCAAACGAGTATTTATTATATACTTAAATATTTATCACTGTAAAATATTTAGAACTAACCAATCATGATCCAATACTAAAACTTATGATAATTTGTAAAATTGAAACTATTCATAGCTTCAGCCAGAGAAAATATAATTCAACTTAGTAATCATTTGCCTCTTTTTCTCCTCTAACCTCGCAAGAATACCAGTATATACTAGATCTATTAAAACTAGGACACATAAGAGTAGGATTAGGATCGGTATAAGACTATGAAGATGCACGAATCTATCCGGCCGAAAATAAGATAGCGTGACGAACAGACGGTGTACCTTATCCAAAATTACTCTATAAGAAGGACACTTCGAAGCTAAACTCATCTGGCGCGAGCAAAGAGGCTCGACCAGACCTATACTAATTTAGATTTAGAAAAAACTTAGATTTAGAAAAAAACGAAGAAATGACGCAACAAATCAAAAATAGAATTAGACTTATTAATTCCACTTATTGAGAAATAAGGTAATAAAAAAAATAGCTTATTTCTCAATAAGTCTAACCCAGCCGAGTCAAAACTAAAAACGAAACTAGATCACAACAAAGACGATAAACCAAATACCTGCAACGCAAAGCCAAAAAGCAGACAACGACGACAAAATTTGTGCACCTAAAATTACTATTTAACTATAATATAAACTGCATCAAATAAGAGCCGTAATTTTAACTTAGCGATATATTTTCATTAATATACAATAAATTAAAATATACTTGTAAAACAACAAGACGTCGACAAAAAATTTTGCTTACCTTCAACTTAAAATCTGCAGTAATTTTTCTTAAAAAAATTATGTAAAATTTATAAATTCAATAACAAATACACATATACAGACAAATATAAGATAAAAAACAAAAATTTTTGATAGTTTGATGATGCTTCCTTCTTGAGGATCATCATCTTTCTTGTAATTCTTCCCGAAAACAATCAAAAGAATTTCAATACTAAATTAATCAAAAACAAGATCATGATCATCAAGAACTTTCTTGGATTTTCAACCATTTTTAAGTTATTTCAAACATATAAGCATCGAGGCCTTTCCTTGATTTTCAACTTTAATTCTTAAACCTTCAATTTTAAAACCTAAATCAGATCATCAAGGCTCCTCATTGGATCTTTAATATAAAATCTCTTAATCATATCTGTCTTAAAACCAGATCATCAAGGCTTCTCTTGGATCTCTTAAATTTTTCCATTCAAATTCAAACCTACCATTTCAACACAAGTGTCTAACGACGTAAAACGTCAATTCACTCTCCAACTTTTCCAAATGACCCAGGACTAACTGAAACTTCCTAAATACTGACCATTTTAATTAAGTTAAACAGTGAAGAACTTCGGTTAATCAATCTTCACTTGAACCCTACCTCTTACTCGACCGGAGACTATAAAAACACTTAAAACAGTCCGCCCTAAAAAGTATCTAACGATCTACTTGTGTTCTAATTCTACGCGAACCTTAAAGATTGATTTTCTGTTCTCCAACCCTCGATTTCATATCGATCCCCATGTAAGTACGTTTAAGTTTACTTAAGCAGAAAGCGCCAAATACGTTAGAGAGCAGTGAGATATCAACCTATCGAAATGATATACTCCCTCCTCAACCCATCTTGCCGCAACAAAAGGACCCGGGGAACAGTATAACACTCACAAAAAGAGTAAGAACTAACAGTGTTAAAGAAAGAGCAATTAACACATGCATTTTGCATCATTGATCGTGAGACTTCTTGTCCGACTCGAGACGCTAGATGCGATTTTGATATAGTACCACACCAACAAAAAAAGACTATCTCAAAACAAAAACGAATTGTAAAAAATCGTTTCTTTTTAAAATCAAATCCAATACAACAACCACACAAAATCTCAAATACCTCCAAAATAAATCAGCGACCAAAACAAATAAGTAAATAAAAAACTACGTTTTTCTGATTCAGAATCAACATCAGCATCATCAAAAAAAGTAAACAGAATAAAAAAACAATTATTACAGAAAACCTCTACGAAAATACACTTGGAATCAACCTATAGGACATATTGAAAGTTACATAATAAGAGTTAAAACCGCATAAAAAGCTATTCAATGCGACAATAACTTCGAGGAAAATTCTATCCTACCATTTGTCATACATCTTACCAGTGACCTATCACGCGGTCAAGTACAATTTTGTCACAGCCTTGTCATAAATTTATTACAAAAAGACTATAGCCCATGCCAAGAAACAATGAACTATTGGTTATGAAGTGTGTTATGAACTGTAAATAGGTAGCACTGAAAACCGTTTTTTGGGCTGCCCCGTCTAGTGTGGTTTGTATTAGAGCTTTACGTCTGTAAATCCAATTTTATTGAAGAGGTGTGTTATTTGGTTCTGGGCCTATATTTAAGATTGAGTTCGCTGTAACAGCATTTAAATAATCTTCAGCTGGGTATTCATGGTCTACTCCTGTGAAATTCACTAGTGGTTTGTTTGATATGAGGGATGATCCACCCATAAAATATGGATTCGTCGTCATTTGAAGTGATTCTAATGTGTTAGGTATTTGTGTAAATTTTATAAGTTGATTTCGGTTAATTTCATGTTAAGAATAAAATGGCGATGGTATTTCATTTCTCATTTACTCTGGTTGGTAACATTCAGTGTGCATAGGATATTGTGTTTGTGTAATATGATTTCGTTGTGGAAAATTTGGTTTCGTAGGTATTTTAGTCTTTTGTGATTGATTTTTGGTGGGTCTAAATCAGCTTCAAAAGTATTTGGTTGGTAAATATCATCTGGTTCATCAATATTGTCCCATTGGTATTTTCATTGGTTAGAATTACGGTGTTGTTGATTTTGATGGAAGAGATTGTGATGGTTTTATCTGAATTGGATGTGCTGTAGGGTGACTTGTATTAATGCTGGCAAGCTAAAAATCATAATTGTGGTTTGCAATTAGTTTCCACGTTTGTTTTTTTTAGATCATTGAAATATCGTTCTTTGATTATCGGTCTGAATGTTTGATAATTCATTTGTGAGTGTTTAGGAAAAACAGTTGGTTTAGCTGTTGATTGTAATGTTTGTAGGAACGGGTTATTATTCTTATCATGTGGTGCTGTCATTGTTGGGTGAAAAGGTGATATTTTGTTGTGCTGTTACTGCTTTTGTAGTAAATATTTCTTTATTTCTAAAGTGTGATGGTGTTTAAATATCTTGTTGATTTAGTGCTGTGGTTCCTTTCAGGTTTTTTTTGTGAATGTATGATTGTTGATTTCAGGCTAATGTCAATTGTTCTAGCGTGAAACATTGTTTTGTAATTTAATGGTGTTGTATCTGTGGTTAATGGAGTTACCTTAAAATAATTCTTTTTTACTGATATAGTTTCAATTACTGAGCTTGAAATATATTTTGGTATGTCAAAAAACCTTTCATGATACCATTCGGGTTCCTTTACATAATCTATTTTATCTGCCAAAATTGTGTCTGCGTCATAGTGCGTGAGAATTTTTTTTCTAGATTGTTCAGTTAGGTTTAGATTGTGTTGAAATTATTCTGTTATATATCAGCCTAGTATTCTTTTTAGATCGATTTTGTTATGTGAAATTTCTATCAGTAATTTTTTCGCGAATTGAATTTAAATGTGAGAAGAGATTTATTTCTGTTCTCAGTGCAATATGTCGATGTTTGTGGTGGAGATACATGAAATATTTTATCTGTATGTAATATGGGAAGATAATTAGATTTGATTGAAAAAACTCCATTTGTGAATATTGAGTCTGCCTGTTGTGAATTGTGGTGCTGTATGTTTTTTGATATATTCTACAAAATTTTGAGAAACTTAAGTTTATATCATCTATTTGTATTCTGTGTGGTGTTGTATTGAAATCTGGCGGAAAAATTTCAATAGTGAATATACCGTATTGTGAGGTTATTTTACATATGCTTGGTAGGTAGTTTGATATCTGCCTTTAAATTTTACTTTTGGAAACTCCTATCCTACCGGTTTATGTTTCTGCCAGACTGAAACAGGACATTTGCTTTTTTTAAATTTCATTACGTCTCAGAATATTGATCTTAAATTAACATTCAATTCGATCGATTCGACCTTGCATTTTGGTTGACTGGCTGCGTTTTTGCCATTGCCTCTTTTGTTCTTCGAAGTAAAAATGCCTTCAGAATTTCTTTTCATTTCTGTTTATTGACTTTGAAATTGAGCGCTCGAAGAAAAATATTGACATGAAAACTCGTTATGAAGTGTTTTTAGCTAGAGGGGACTGGAAAATGGTGTAATGTGTCGATGCGCGGAATGCGACAAATTGGGTGGGGCTAGTCAAGCGGATTGACCCGTCAGAGTTGTCCTGGTTTTCGAATCCTGTTGTCAAGGTCACAAATCATGAGCTCTTCAGTGAGGAGCCTTTAGCCCTGGGGAGCCTTAAGTATATTTGCAGTACAGAATAGCTTTCCGAAGTACTTTTAAAACACCAGTTGGACAGTCGCGAATTGCGGGAGCTGCCTCAACTATCTGATTATCATGGCAACGATGGCTGGACATTTGGGCTAGAGAAAGGTGTGGAAATGGCATCATTACCCTTGCCCCCCCCCCCCCAATTCATGAACTCAGATGCTCTTCTGAAGACAAGTGGCTGGTTCAAGGAGTCACATAAAGAGATTGCTGGAGACGACTCCATCTCGTTGAATCTTTTTGGAAACGTTTTTCTAGATCGCAAAAAGTGGACGTATCTCCAGATTTCTGTTCAAGGCCGTCATAGGTCTTGAAATAATTTTTGAACCTATGGGATGCGAGACTTGACCAAAAAGGTAAAACCAACTGAAGAAACCAACATAGGTCGATGGAAAATGTGATGACACAAAAATATGAACTTTCTGAACAATCACAAATTTGAAAATGTATTTAAGCAATTTCTGCTAAAATCTTGAGACAAAGCTTGTAAATGTCTAATTTTCGTTACAAATTATCGTATTCAACCTATTTCTGGTAGGAAAAAAATTCCATAAAAATCGAGCTAGTTGATTTTGTTTTAAAATAGTTAAACTTCGTTAGCGAATAAAAACAAGACAACATCAGAAAATTAAATAATATAACTATGCCGACAACAAAGAAGCCAAAACACTAACTGTTATTTTAAAGCAAAAAAGCGCCAGTCAATAACCAGGAAGCCTGAAAATACATTGGCGAAAAATTCGAAGTTCGGTCGCTATATATGTAATTGTTAGAGCCCTAGATGATGTATTTCAGCGAGATAAGGCGTTTCAAAAAATTTAACTTTTAAAAAATCGCAACGGAAAAAAGCTGCTGCGGCCATTAAGACGACAAACAATAGACAGACACACGAGATTAAATAAATTTGATTTGTTCAAGGCAGACAACTTCCAGTTTGCAAGTTTGCAAAGAGTAGACGTCCTGCCGGAAGTAAACCCCGCAACTTTGGAAACATGAGAAGGTTCTACACCACTACACTTAGTAGGCAGCTGGGTAGTTTAAAGACAGTCATTGGCGCTTCAAGCAAAACTTAAACTCAATTTGTTTCATATTTGGTGATTCCTAAAAAAAATTCAATTTCTCACTGCCTATTTTGGACAAAAAATAACAACATGAAGAGCAGCGGTAATTTAAAAAAAAAACAATTTTTCGATAGAGCTAAAATCAGCTGAGAGTTTTCCATTCTGCCTTAACCACAACTAAACAAAATTTTATGCTAAAATTCGGCCGCGAAAAATGTTTCGAGTTGACGTAGGTACTGACAAAAATGAGAATAGAAAAACATAATTATTTGAAACTGTTCTGCAATGATGACTTAGCTGCAGATTTATCGTTCATGTTATCAACACGCCGCCAGATAATTTTTTTCATTAATTAACTTGGATCAAAAATAAGTGTTCAAAAAATATCTATACGCGTGAAATCGTTTTTACAAAGTAACTCAAATGTATATTTCAGCTGAAATGACCGACACGAGAAAATTGGCCTCCCAAAATTTTATTGCACTCCACTCGTAAAAAATTCTTATCAAAAGCAACTTAGTCGTTTAATTATTTAAGTAATGACCAAAATAAAATTTGTTAACATTACAAAAACTGAACAAATTATTAAAGAGACTGAAATCAAATATAACGGAAGAGAACATTGATACATATATTCGTGAAAAAAGGCGCATAGCATCTTAAAAAAACTAATGAAAAATTCAGTTACATTAAATTCGTACCGGCAACTTGTGACAGATCTAAAATTCGAAAGAAGCTAACTAAGCTTGACACGAATTAATTTGGTGTAAAACAAATGATGATTGCCGCAATATTTCATGTAAAACTATTTGGTTTTCAAAATTAAATTAAGTATAATTTGGATCAATAACTTGGTACATTATATCAATTGTGATTTTTTGGGGGTCATCGACAAATTTTGACATTCAAAAACAAATTCCGCAAAAATAGTCAGATCGAAACTCTATTGGCGAAAAATTCAACTACAACAACTCAATTCGCCCAAAAATAAATCAACTTCGACAAGTCCTTTGGTTGGCTGAAGTAAAACTAAAAACTAGTTTAAAGAGTAGCCGAAAAAACATGTTGAAAAATTTTTGCTCCGACGGAAATTCGACAGCCGCAGAAGCGGTTACGCAGCACAACACTACTCCTCGTTAGTGTTATGGGATTCTTTTATCCGACAAAAGTAGTACATCACATTTTCTTCAATAACAAACAGGCAGAAACTGATGAACTCGAATACAGCCGATACAGTTAATGCTATTTAAAGTCCCAATATTACTCATGAAACGCGTTGTTAGCAAAAAAATTCGTGTAATTTTTACAACACCCAAGAGAGAGTTGGAAAATTGTTAGTGAACTCGAGAAAACAGGGAAAAAAACATCGGCACTTTTTCGAGAAAAAATCGATGACTGAAAATTATCTTTTAATCGTTGATCGACTATCTTTTTTAAGCGACACTGAGCAAACAACTCAAAATTGGATCAATAGTGTTTTTATTCTGTCGCGAAATATAAAAAATAATCTCAAACTACAGGTCATTCAAGTTTCTCAAGCCACTTCAATTTTTGCAACTGGGGCCTACTGGCAACATCAAATTTTTAGACTGTTACTGAAAAAATTATCATTCAGAGCAACTTTTAAACATCAAATTTAAACTAAGAACCAGGCGTGATGGGGTGCTTAGTTTTCGTCCGCTAAAGTTCCCTGAAATAAGAGATTAAAAGAAGCCAACCTGTTTGAGACATTCGTGCATGTGATTGTCAATTGACTGCTTCCCGAATGAGTCAGAACAGAATGGACACACAAGCAGGATGCACTCTAGCACAGGTGCACTCTCAAACTGCCTCTCAGAGGTCTTCGATGACAGCACTGAGCTCTGATAGGCCGCTTCCTTCGCTTTCCGCTCCTCCTCAAGTTCGCGCTGGGCTAAAACGAGCAACAACAGAGTTACGACGATATCTTTTTGGATCACTTTAAATAATCCCCCCGCTCCCTCTTTGCAAAATGTGGGATTCTTTACAAAGCACAAAACACAAAATTTGCATGCTCAACTATTGAGTTAGTAATTTATAAGGGGGGAGGGGGCTATACTCTTTTCTAGAAACCACCGGATGGGGTAATCGTTAGCGGTCCAATTCCGAAACTCCATAAGTTTTTAGGACACTACAGTGCCAATAATTCAAGTTTACTCACAAAATTTCTGTAAAACGACATAAAAAATAACGTAATAAGCCCTAAAGAGCGAATCTTCCCCACTGACTCATAAATCGAGACCTTGAGCTTTGGCCGCTTTTGATATACTGGACTGGGGCTGATTGTCTTGAAACTTCTTCTCGATTCTCATCAAGGCCGCTTGGCCAGCCAGTGCTGCCGACTCACTCGAAGGCTGCGAAGGGGCCACCGATGGTCTGCTACTCGGCTGTACGTCATGGCTCCTGCTCCGAACACTACTAGACGCATTATTAGAACTGGCAGCACTGTAGAACACACAAAAAAAACATCTATCGAACTGAACAATCAAACTGCCTACAATTAACGAGAAACATAAAAATTTTTAACCCGTACAGAGATGGCAAAAAACTGCTTCTTCGGCTGCATTTTAAAACTTAAGCGCCTATTGTATGATCATCTAGCTTTTCTTTCTCTCTCTTGGTCAAAATATGACAAAATATCAAAAAAAAATTTAATCTGATATTGGCAGTGTTTACAACTTAGCTAAAAATGAAGAAGCGAACTTTATGAACCCTTGGGTTGGATTGATTTCTGGTGAAAGTTAGGATTTTAAAAATCGTGCGGTTGGACTCCGATTACTAACACGGGTGCAATCAGATTACTAACTAGACTTCCTGTTACTAACCTGTTGGCTAGAGTATGACCTGTTCCTGCCTTCTTAAACTTCTTGTCCAATTTCTTCTGACTAAAAAAGGATTTAATTTGATCCATGTCGCAAAGCGAGTAAATAAGCTAAGCACTTTCTACATTTCGGTAACAAAATTATCTGAAAGACAGTGACATTATTCGAATGTAGAGTGATTCAATTAGAGAATCGTAACTCACAAAAAATTGATTAACAAGAAAAAATCTTTAGGATTCTTTCCTTATTTTCCGAACTACCAAAAGTCCATGGCTTGAAACTGGAATATAAAAAATCACTCACATTTGAAAATAACTTAAGTTTGTCTCCTTTTTCTAAATTCATTTTCGAAGAGCGTAATAAGTAACTAGCGTGTAACGCACCTCCGGTGCTTCGAGTTTTTTTTTTAAATTCTAGGAAATCGCAGATATTGGAAATAAGATCTGCATCCTTTTAGTTTACTCTGACAGCACCCAATTACAGGAATGGTGATTTCAAATTTGAGAAATTTCAAACTTAAAATTTCAAATAAAAAACCATAAAAACGTCATATCTCAAAAACACAAAAACTTGAGCAGTCATATTTGGAGGCAAGATGCGAAAGATGCCTCTGAGAGTACTGTGACAGCCCCTATCTACAGGGTTAGGAATTTCATACTCAAGAAAAATAAATTTAACTTTTCTGTAAATTTTTTTGAAAAAATGATTAAAAACGTCATATCTCAAAAAAGCAACGATTTAGGCAGTCACATTTGGAGGCAAGATTCGCAACCCCTGAGAGTACTCTGACATTACCCCAATTACAGGGTTAGAAATTGAAAATTCGAAAAAACGTCATATCTGGGAAACTACAGATTTGAGCAGTCACATTTGGACGCAACATTTTCAACCCCTGAGAGTATTTCGGCAGCCCCCAAAAACTGGATTGGGAGCTTCAAAATTAAACTTATATTTTCTGAAAATTTTTGAAAAAATCACAAAAAACGCCATATCTCGAAAACTACACGAATTTGTGCCGTCAAATTTGGAGACCACAATAGCAACTCCTGGAAGTGCAATGTAAAAGCCTCAATATAGATGTGAACTTCAAATTTTGCATACCTATTTATAATTAAGTTCTTTGAACAATAAAAGACAACACATGTCACAGCTCGGAAACTAAGAGCATTTGAGCCGTCGCATATGGTTGCAAGATTTGCAACTAGCAGCTCGTGAGAGCACTTTCGCAGTACGAAACTACAAGGTTGAGAATTTCAAAATTTTTGAATTTTTTAAAATCTAAGTTTTCTGAAAAATTGAAAAGAAATAAAAAAAACACGTCATATCTCGAAAACTACAAGGATAGGAGCAGTCGTAATTGGAGGCAAGATTTGCAAACCCTGAAAAAATAAGAGTACTCTGACAGCTCCAACTACAAAAATGGGCAATTCATATTTTGAAGAAAAAAAAATTATATTTTCAATATTTTTTGAAAAAATAACAAAAAACGCCATATCTCGAAAACTACAAGGATTTGAGCAGTCATATTTAGGAACAAAACTCGCAACTCCTGAGGGTACCCTCAGAGTTTCCAACTACACGATGGAGATTTTCAAAACCTTTGAATAATTTTAAATCAAATTTTTTTGAAAACTTTTGGAAAAAAAATATAAAAAACGTCATATCTCGAAAACAAAAAGGATTTGAGCAGTCATATTTAGAGGCAAGATTCGAAACCTCTGAGAGTACCCTAACAGTGCCCAACAACAGGGTTGAGAATATCTATTTTTCTAAAAATTTTAATTCGAGTTTGCTAATTTCTAAATTGATGAAATAATCCTCGACATCAAACTGGAAAATCGAAAAAAAATTCTTAACCATTGCAATGTACGATTTAGCTTAACCATGAAAAAATTCTTTCGTTAAACATGCAAAAATAATACGTTAAAAAACTTAAACATGGCGAGATAGTGAAGCCCGCATTTAAATATATGATAGATAGATTAGCTAAGTAAGTAATAAGCTTTTGAGCTACTTTTGGCTATTATATAGTTGATTCAAAATTAGACCTTATTAGACTTTATCTCACATTTAGACCTGAAAACTATACTTTATCTATGGAAACCAGGCGTACACATATCCATGAAGACTTCGCTGGAAAGTTATTTCTACAAATATAATCAACTGAAAACTTGAAAATCATTATTTATAATTTTTGAAAAGCCATGCGAACAAAGCGAGCTTTTTTTAAATCGCTGTCACAAAATTGAGTTCAAATCTTTTGAAGTTCTAAAAAAAATTGTTGAAGCTTTCTGATTAAAGCCACCTCTAATGCTTTCTTTAAAGCGTGGCATCCCCTCATACTTTTACTGACAATGACTTTTACGGACAGTATTTCATTGAGCTTGAATTTCTATTATACAATTAATTTTTTTATTAAATATACACAGAGGCGAAGCGGAGCTTTGCAACACTTGTGACAAAAAAAACATTGCATTACAAAGTCTTAATAGAAAAAAGAAGAAAAACCTCTATTAAGATAACTATTAACCGTTCTTACAAATGAAATTAGGCAGGGTGGTGGCTACAGGGTAGCTACAGCTGGAGGTACGTGCGCACTAGAAATGTGATTTCGAACATTCGACTCGGCCCAAAACCTTGGTTGTTTCTCTACTGAAATAAGCGAAAAGAGTATAAAATTTTGAGACAATTGATTTTCAAGGTAACAACATTCATTTTACAAAAAATTAAGGAGTCGCCGCATCTGCAGGGATACCTATCGAAACCCGTTCTTTCGATTGAACTTTTCATCTCAGATTTGATTGGTTAAATTTAAAAAAATTCAAACATTTCTAAAAAACGGTCATAAGTTCTAAGAAAACGCTCAAAGCGGAGAAGATTCACAAAGCACGGTTTCCCGATCGGACACAACCTGAGAATTGGCACGGTAGTTTTCGCTTAAGGTCAAAAAGTTTCCAAAAACTGTCAAAGTTTCAAAACTTCGACTTGTTTGAATGTCAACTTTTTTCTTAAACAAACTGGGCATAGCCTATTATAAACGTAGGCTTTCAACAACCTGTTGTTTCAATTAAACCTATGATATCAAATTTGGCAGGATAGTTAGCGAAAAAAGTCCAAAAAACGTTCAACGAAATAAAATTTGTTAATTCCGAGAACCATAGCTTGTTGTGAAACAAATAGGGCTTAGCCGATTGTGCAGAAGTAATTCATGCAATCTGTTATTTCGATCGTGACCATAATTTCGAAATAGGGATGGTAATTTCCAAGGAAAAAAACTTTAAAAAACGGTCAAAAAATCAATCTTCGAATGCCATATCTGTTGGTGTCAGAAAAATTTGGGCGTAGTTGCATAAACAAACGATCTTCCCCAAACTCGTTCTTTGAATTGAACCCAAATTTCAGATAAGGCCAGGAAGTTTTCGAGAAAATTTAAAAACATTTCAAAAATTGACCTCTCTCGAGGGCAATAATTTTATGTGTAAAAAATTTTTTTGAGTCGCCGCTAATGTAGGGGAGTTTCTCACTGCCCGCAATCTCCATTGAACTCACAATATCAGATTGGAGTGTAATAAATTTGTGTAAAAAAATTGGGCGTAGCCGCATATGCACGGAGCTTTTTATTCATTGAGACTAACCGTTTTATGCAAAACCGTTTTATTCATTGAGACTAACAACTCAGATTTGAGAGAAGTAACTTTTGAGAAAACGAAAAAAATCAAAAATATGAGTGCATTTCCCCCCACAAAAAAATGGGTCAAATTTTCCCCCACAGACTTTTTCTAATGGTGTAGACAGAGGGGTCAGGTAAAAAGAGACTCTAGGGAAGTATGTAAGCTCACAGGGGAGTAGTCTTTCAATTGATAGCCCTTTTTAAAAAATGAGTAGAAGTATCTGAGAAAAACTAAAATTTTTCTATAAATATGAAAATAATGTTTAAAATGAAAAAACTTCAATCAAACGATTGTTAAACAGACCATCAACTTGAGGAATGCGGAGGGGAGTGTAAAACTGTGTTGCCTTCATACGACCTAAAATTAGGTCATTAAGCCGATAAAAAGAGGCCGAACAAATTTGGACCGAAAAACAAAAATCAAGAAAACTAGCGTGTAACGCACGCTCCGGTGCTTCGAATTTTAACAACTCAAAAAACCCGAATTTATCGCAAATAACATCTGCATCCTTTGAGTGTACTCTGACAGCACCGATTTACAGGGTTGGTAATTTCAGGGTTGGTAAGTTTTTTTATAAATTTTTTTTAATTCAAATTTGAAAAACCATAAAATCTTGAAGTTTTTTATTATATCTAAGTTTATAATAAATAAGGAAACGTCACATCTCGAAAACTAAAAGCAATTGAGCAGTAGCATTTGGAACTTTTAGTACCTAAGTTTTCTTAAAAATTTTGAAAAAATCCATGAAAACGTCATATCTCAAAAACTACAAAAATTTGAGCTGCCATAATTAGAGGCAAGATTCGCAACCCCTGAGAGTACCCTCAAAGATTCCAATAACAGGATTGATATCTTCAAAGTTTTGGAACTTTTTAACATCTAAGTTTTTTTGAAAATTTCGGAGAAATACATAAAAAACGTCATATCTCGAAAACTATAAGGATTTGAGCAGTCATATTGGAAAGCAAAACCCGCAACTCCTGAGAGTACCCTGACAGAGCCTCACTACTGAGATAATAATTCAAATTTTTCGAAATTTTTTATACCTAATTTTTCTGAAAAAATTTTGAAAAAAATCCTTACAAAACGTCATATCTCGAAAACTACAAGAATTTGAGCAGCCATAATCAGAGCAAGATTCGCAACCCCCTGAGAGTACCCTCACAGATTCCAATTAGAGGAAATAGATCTTCAAAGTTTAGGAACTTTTCAACACCTTAGTTTTTTTTGAAAATTTCGGAGAAATACATGAAAAACGTCATATCTCAAAAACTATGAGGTTTTGAGCAGTCATATTGGAAAGCAAAACTCGCAACTCCTGGGAGTACCCTGACAGAGCCTCATTAATGGGATAATAATTCAAATTTTTCGAAATTTTTTATACTTAAGTTTTCTGAAAAAATTTTGAAAAAAAATCCTTACAAAACGTCATATCTCGAAAACTACAAGAGTTTGAGCAGCCATAATCAAAGCAA